TCCATCATGGACTTAGAAAAAGTAAAAAAGGCATGTAATAAAATACAGTCCATAAAACATAAAATGACTCTTGTCAAATTACTATCAAAGTTTCTGACTTCTTACTCTCCATTTCTTTACTCTGCCCTGGACCTGTAACAGTGTCTTTCAATAGAGACCACACGGTAAGTAACATTGGTTCTAGGCTATAAAGATTTGAGGGTCATCAGCATTTATTTATTTAAAAATTTTAATCTCCCTAGTACATCAGGATAAAATCAAAACACCTTATTCAAGTTTACCAATTCATTTGTTTTCTAGCTCAGAGCTTCTCAAACTTTAAAGTGCACAGAAATCTCCTGGGGATCTTGTTAAAGTGGAGATTCAGATTCAGTAGGCCTGCGAGAGGCCTCCGCTTCTGCATTTCTGTAAGCTCCCAGGTGACTGCTGATGTTTCTGGTCTATGGACCACACCTTAGTAGCACAATTATCCAAATATTGCTCAACCCCCACTGTGTGCTTCATGATCACCTGGGGTAATTATGCTGCCTCCCTAATCACAGATGTTCTGATTCAGTTGGTCTGGAGATTTTTCCAAAGTCCCTGGGTGACTCTGTGCAGCCATGGTTGATAACCACTGACCTGCTCACGGCTTGTTCCTTTTAAATCTCCTGTGGGAGGTGTGATGCCAAGCCTCTCAGCAACACACACTAGCACAGACTATGAGTAAACTCATGATTTATAATTTTTTCCAGCTTTATTGAGGTATAAATGGTATGTGAAAAAATACTCATAATTAATGCATACAATTTAATGAGTTTTAAAATATGTCTACACTTGTACTACCATCACATGATTGATAATTTTTAAGGATAACATGTCTGACATCCTAAGCAAAATAGGTTTCTAGAAACCAGACATTCTAGAGTCTTAAAAACAGGGTTAACAAATGTTGTGATTGGCCTGGATAGGTAGTTTAACTGCTGTTATCATTCTAGTTTAATTGTTTATAGTTCCCCCTCTCACTCTCAAAAATTTTCTCATTTCGTCAGCCTATTTTTAAAAGAGCAAAATATGGTAACATGTAGATTCTCTGAGCCCTCCTTCCATATGCACTGAACGTAGGAAACCGGTCTGGGTGGCATCATGGATCAGTGAAAACGTGATTTATTTAAGACTCGGTAGATCAGGTTTGGGGAAACTTGACAGTCAGGACCAGGCAGATGCTCTTGAGCTCATGGACTCAAAATATTCTTTTTAATATAATATAAACCCTGTTCCTTCCCATTTGACCTCACACACTGTTCTCTTCAGAAACTACACCTTAACCACAAGTCTCCTGCTGGCCAAGACATCTTTTGCTTTCTGAATAGCATTTGTCTAATTCTGTTGATTAAATTCATCCTGCTTGAACCATAGAGCAGAATCTCTTACAAAATATTGTTCATCCTAAATTTTTCCATCATTTTAAAAGATAAATTTTATTCCTGATAGTACTGCCTGTCCTTCCCATATCATGTGTTTCATGTGCCTTGCTAAAATATTTCTCTCTTCATACATGGAGCTAACATCTGAATTTTCCACATTCTTCCCTCCTGATGGTATTACCATCAAAACCAACACAACACACACTGTCACCAGAGTAAACTCAGCTGAAATACTGATGGCCATGACATGGATTGTCAGTTACTATTGTGCCCAGTTGATATCATATCTTTTACTGAGTTAAAACTTTCCTGTGAGGTGTCTAGAAATTAAGAAGAAAATGGAAAAAAATTTTTTGAACAGTGAGTGGTGGGGGAACATTAGAAGGGGACAAAGAGTTAATGGTTCTAACAAGCAAAACACCAAGTTAAAAAACTAGCAAGTAGGCGTATCAGGGGGTGTTTAAGAGAAGAGGCCAAGAAAAGAAGTCTACAAGAAAAATTTGTGAGGGACAACCAGGTAGACTTAGATGAGTTAGGACAGTTAAACAAAGCTTAGTTTAGCAACATTGACTATAACTATAGAGGAGGTAGTCTGTAGATTTAAAAAAATAAAAGATGAATATTTCAGGTTAGTCTATGTTATTATACACAGTTTCTTACAGCTATTTTACTTAATAGTCAAATTCTATGAAATACTAAAATGAAGATGCCTGAACTAAAATAGTTCACTATACAGTATATTTTTGGAGTATCAGGTCACAATTATTGGTAGTGAGATACATTAAGGTGTATTATTGGAAACATCCTTATTGGATTACTGGCTGCTCTATGGGGATATTCATAATGAGTTGAGGCCATTGGCAACATTTAATGAGATTTCCTATTTTTCTTTCATTCATTCAGTTTTTAATAATACCATTAAGGCTCGTTTCTTATTTCAGTCGGCTGGGAACAGATCGTTATTAGAAAAGAAGGCTCCTGCTAGGCTGTTTCAGTCCTAAAGTGCTGTTGCAAATTATCTCAAGCATTTTAGGAACATCTCTTTATTCAGTCCAAATTCATTTGTCATATTGTGAGCTCTGTCATAAATGATAACATTGAATTTCTTTTTGTTTCCTTATGACATGCCAGCTAAGCACTGTGCAGTGTTCCAGGGAAACCATGTACTTTCTCTGAAGTATTTGCTTTATGATTTTTCAAAGCTTAGTCTTGTTGTCAGTTGCCCTTCTGTATTTCAAATGTATATATATATATATATATAAATGTGCTTTCAGTTATTAACTAAATTAAGCAGAAGGTAAAGAAAATGGTATGTTTATTTTTGATATACAGATTTTAACATTTCAGGGAAATTATATGAAGCTTGAGAAATGTGAAGAAACATTCTGTGCAAAATGTGTAATTATTGCAGATAAACTCTGAGAACCCTGCTATCATCTGCCATGCTTAACACCATAAGGCAAACTACCAAATCTTGTGTTGTACGTAGTCTGTATCACAAATAGTAAGGTCACTACATGCTATATTCTTTCCACAGAACAATTAATATAATCATTAATAGTAGTGGTTGACATGGCTGTAGCTAGCTCCATCTTTTACACAGTTCTCATTAAGTGTTTTGGTCATGACTACTGATCTTATGCCTAGTGTTGAGGATAAGCAGAAAATGTACAGTTTTCCCTTTTGGCAGCTCTTAGAGCCCTAGGGATTTGATTTTTTATTTTGAAGATGGCTTTATAGTTTTAAATTCAATGATTTGCATACAAAAGTCTTCCCATCTCTGCCCCTTCTGAAATTTGCGGTTAGGTGTTCAGTGAAAAAATTCAGGTAAATGCTACCTGTAGAATGATTTTTTTCTTGCTCTATAAATCTCTCTTGAACTCAACTGTTCCTCTTCATCCTCACCATACTGCCTTTGCCAATGCATTTCTACCAAAGTCACAGCTCTAGCCTCCAACTGGTTTTTCTTCCTCAGTTTCCCTCTATCAATTTTCTGGGCAAATGTCACTTCCTCACAGAACACTCTGGGTTCCTGCTGGAAAACACCACCCCATCCCTCTCTTTTCCCTTGCCTTGCCTTGTTTTCCTTTGAAACATGGATCTCCCATTATTTGAAAATATATTTGACTCTCCCAGGTAGAATGTAAATCCATTGGTTCATGGACTTTGTTCCCTGATGTAGCTATAGCATCTGGAAAACTCCCTGTCCTACAGTAGATACTTAATAAACATTCGTAATAAAAGAATAAAGACTGGTAGTTCTCAATGATGAATATATTTGTATTTTAAGAGAAAACTTCTAAAATACACCTTGCATAGTCCAATTCACAACAAAATGACTTCTGGGTTCTGCTTCTAGATGGCGACATCAGATGATCTTGAATCACCTCCTCCCACAACACACCAAGTCTACAGCTACATATGGAATAACTCCCTCCAAAAACAAAACAAAACCCTAAAAACGTGCGGAACGACTCCTAAGCATCAGGCAAACAAAGGTCCACATCAAAGCCAGTAGGAGAGCCTGGGACACGATCTCCCCATAACCCCCACCCCTGCTACAGTGACACACAGTAGTGGGAACTCAAAACCCAGAGTTCTCCCACATCGGACACCCCCAACTTTTAAGACCTGCACCTTAAATATGAGCCCCCAAAACATCTAGCTTGGAAAACCAATGGGCTCATGTTACAAGATCCACAAGACTACAGAAATCTGCCAAACGCCTCTCCAAGGGCTGGCGCCCTGGGACCCACCTGCTACAGGGCCCCGCTCAGGGGCCGCCGGCGGGCCGCCCGGGGAGGCAGAGGCCCGCTGTCTGGTCCGGAGCGGCGGCTGAGGACCGGGCACCCGACGGGCCCCACCCGGGGGCTCTGCGGGCGGGAGGCTGGTAGGGGGCATCTTTGTGCTCTCCTGCCCCGCTCCCGCTGACGGGCACCACCTTCCCTTGCCAAGCCCAGGTTTCATGCTTCCCGTTCCCGGGGGGCGCCCTGTCTGCACCCTCCCTGTGCTTTCCTCCAGCCGGTGGGCGCCATCTTCACCTCTCCCTCTGCCTGGCTCCCGCCTGCACACGCCATTTTTTTTTTTAAGGCTTTTTCTTTTTTTGTTTTCTTTTCACTTTTCTGGCAGGTGCCATCTCTACGCTCTCCCCCTGTTTTCACTCTGGCCGCTGGGTGCCATCTTGCCTCTCTCCCTCTGCCTTGTTCTACTCTGCCAGTAAATGCTACTTTTAAAGAAAATTTTATTTAACTGCAGGCAGTTTCCTTCTTCCCTCCCTTTTCTTCCCGGGCAGCGCCACCCCTGCGCACTCCCGGCCCTCCCCGGCTCCCCCACTGCCCCACCCGGGGCCTCCGCGCCGCCCGCGCGCTCCCTCCGCAGGTGCCAGGCCCCCTGCCCGCCCCCTGCCCCGCTCCCGCCGGCGGGCGCCACCCTTTCTCATTTTTAAAACTCTGGGCTTTTTTTTCTTTCTTTTATTTTACTTCTTTTTTCTTCCCTACAGGTGCCTTCCGTATGCAAACCCCTGCCTTGCTCCAGCTGATAGATGCCATCTTTTTTTTCCTTTTTTTTTTTAATTGTAGAACTTTTTGCCCTTACTTGTATTTTTAAAAACCTGTTCTTTCCCGGAGGCGCCATCTGCATGCGGCCCCGCTGCAGTGCTCCAGTGCCAGGATCTCCCCGAGGGCAGCTCTTACCCGTGCCGGTGCCCTGGCTTCTGCGGCTGCTACCAGGCGACACCTCCACAGTGCCTGGCCCCGGTGGCCAGTAGGCGTCCGTTTGTGGGTCCCACAGGACCAAAGCCAACAGAGAAGGATGCTTAAATAGTGTGAATAGAAGCATGTGACATGGAGTCAGGAATGTCAAGGGGCCCTAACGTGGAGCTGGGAGCCCAGTGAAGTTGGTGTTACACACGTCTACACGTAGGTGGAGCAGGAACTTTCAGGCTGTGCCAACCACAAGGGGCTACGTCCTGCTGTAGTTCTCACAATGAGGCTTATTTCCCTGAATTCCAACCTTGGAACTAGTACTGTAACCTATTCTATGTAGACCAATGTTAGTTATTTTGCCTAAGCCAGTCATAATTCTTTCAAAACAATTTAATACAGGCCTGAGGTTTTTGCCTTTATACATCCTGTCCTTTTTCATTCCCCTTGGAGCACACTCAGGTTCCTCTTGAATCTGCCTCTCCCAAATTCAAATTCCTAAAGACCACCAAATACACGTCTGGTTTGTTTGCCGCCTCAGTTCTTTCTTGTTCAACTATGGCTGCCATCTGCAGGGCACAGCAAGAGGCAACAGACCCAGGAGCTGTCCTCCTGTGAAGGAGGCTGATCACGTGTCAGCATTGCTGCAGTTTGAGGGGCAGGCTTATAACTCACCACACTTATAAGGGCCAACTCTAGTCCTTTCTGGAGACCTCGGGGGGCTGGTGCTATCTTCATGCTCCCCCTCTGCTGAACTTCAGAGAACCAGCATTTTCCAGAGGGGAGCTTTAATCAAGTTTGGTGCCCTATTATTTCACTTCTGGCCCTCTGGTCTTTGCAGCTGCTGCCCAGAGATGCCCTTGATAGCCTGGCTCTGGTGGCCAGGAGTGCTTGCATTCCTGGGGTCCACAGCACGGTAACAATTACAGGCATAGTTCTTGGCAGGATAGCAACCCAGGATACTGCACAGACAGAGGACTGAGATACCCACTGTGAAAGAGGCCTGTTTGTTTGCCCTGGATCTTTGGCTTGAGGGGCAGGCTTCAGGTTCAGCACATCTGGGAAAATGAACGTGTTCTCAGGGAATGCAGGCTGATGCACACCATTTTTGCACTCTCCCTCACTACCACACAGGAGCTTATACAATTGTCTGGAGCCCTGAGTTTTGTGATTTTTGACCCTAGGGACAATAGCACCCGGTGCTGGGCATAGAAAGAAAAGTGTCTCTCAGAGTCTAAAAGGCAGAACTGAAAATAGAATCAGAGTTTATAAACAACTGTAGCCACAATCTAAGGTACTTACAGATTTGTTTGAGAAAGAGACCTGGTGGTCCTTTTTCTCATATCCCCATAATAATCACTATCATCATTGTTCTCAATGTTTTTTATTATCAATTATGACTAGTAATAATAAAAAGTAATAATTCTTGATGCCTACCTTGCACTGGGTACATTTTAATACAGTCTTAAATACATACTTTAATTTAATTTTCACATTAAACGTATGTGATAGATATCCCCATCTTACTGATGAATGGTCTGGATCTTGGAGAAGTTAAGAAATTTTCTCTCTGATCACACAGCTAATAAATAGCAGAGCTGATACTTGAACTATGGTCTATTTAATTGCAAAGTCTTAGTTTAATAATGACATATATCAATATAATATTTATATTATTATAAAGAAGAAGAGTTGCCCAAAACTTGAAATCCATAAGATCAAGTTTGAGTTTGATTTGATAACTTAATTATTTTTGGCACAATTTATTGAATTTCATTTTACCTGTCTAAATGTTAATATTTGAAGAATCGAGAGAATTAATTATATAAGGGAGTGTACTGGTTGAGTGTGCAAGTAGAAAAATCCCAGTTGTTTTTCATAAAGATCTTGGCAAATATTTTAAGGAAAAGTAATCGGGTGATCTTCATGACAAAGTCAAAGCATACTGTTTAACTCATAGAGTGAAAGGACTCATTCCTACGCATAGAGTCCCATATAAGCATCCGAAGTGTGTGCTCCAGTGGGGTGTACTGATTCCTCTGTCCACCGTGTAGATAGAGCACATGGAGTCGGTAGAAGAACACAGATCATTTTTGTATCCATCCCCAAAGTCTCAATTGTCATTCTCAGAAACACAGAGAATATCTTCTAGAAAGTATATATCAGTTTTCTCTTTCCAGTGGGGTATAGGACAAGTCCAAAAACAATCACCCAAAATAATCAGACTTTTACTATTTGTTTTAAGGTTGTGATCAAATATCTATAGTTCTAGGGACGTAACCTAAAATGACTGATGTCCAGAGAGATCACTGTTCCAATTACACAGTAACACTGAGACATACATTTAGGGGTATATGTGAGAATTTGTCAACCTGTGTTAATCAGGCATAAATGTAAGAAAGTTCACAGAAATGATTCTAGTGCTTCTTTTACAACCAAATCAAGATTTCTCAGCCTGAGAGCCACCCTCAGAGAGAACCAAGATGGTGGCATGAGTAGAGCAGCAGAAATCTCCTCCCAAAACCATATATATTTTTGAAAATACAACAAATACAAATAATCTTAAAAGAGAGACCAGAAGACACAGGACAACAGCCAGACTACATCCGCACCCACAAGAACCCAGCGCCTCACGAAGGGGGTAAGATACAAGCTGCGGCCCGGCAGGACCAAAGCGCCCCACACCCCAGCTCTGGGCAGGAGGAGAGGAGTCGGAGCTGGGAGGGAGAGGGAGCCCAGGACTGCTAAACACCCAGCCCCAGCCATCCGCACCAGAGCGCAGACACAGTGCATGTGTGGGATGCTGGAAACTAGGGAAACAGGACAGTAAGGCCTGTGAGCAGGTCCCTGCAACTGGCACCCCTGGGACAAAGAAAAGTGAGTGCTTTTTGAAAGTCTTAAAGGGACAGGGACTCCACAGCTGGATGGAAGTGCCCTGGGACACTTAGCCCAGAAGCTGCAAATACCCGGAGAATTCTGGGTGCCTGAACCCCCTGAACCCCCGCAGCAGAGCTTGGAGGCCCCTCATAGCGATAAACAGCCTCCCGCCTGTTCCCCCACCAACGCAGCTCCGACATAT